GGGTGCATCTATAGAGGGCTGGGGTTGTTGCTGTTGCGAAATCGTTGGAACCAGTGGTTAGAGGTGTTTGTTTGGGTTTAAACTGTTAGTAGATAGTGGTATGGGAATTGATTTAGAGGAAGGAGGTAATAAAAGTATGTGTTTGTGGGAGAAAAGAATTGGCAAAATGATCAGGGAAAGAAAAGGGCCTCAAAATAACAATTCACTTAGGGTATATTACACAAACAGTAGAAGTCTAAGAAATAAAATTAACGAACTAAATGCTCTTGTCTGCACAGAAAAAATAGATATTATTGCATCTACCGAAACGTGGATGAATGTAGAAAATAGAGAACTATTAGCTGAATATCAAATAAATGGATTTAAACTATTTCACGCAGATAGATATATTAGACGAGGAGGGGGAGTAGCCATATATGTTAGGGACAATTTGAAATGTAGTCTCAAAGAGGGAATCAAATCCGAGCCACACACAGAAACTATTTGGATAGAATTAAACGAAAAAGCAAATAATTTTATAATAGGAGTTATATATAGGCCACCAAATTTAGACAGAATGGAAGCAAAGCATCTATGGGATGAAATATCTAGAGCATCTAGATCAAACAGTATTTATGTCATGGGTGACTTTAATTTTAGTGGAATAAACTGGGTGAACAAAACAGGGAATAGTGAAGCCGAAGATTTTCTAGAATTAGTTGACGATTGCTTTCTTACGCAACACATTAAGGAACCAACGCGGGAAAATAATATTTTAGATTTAGTGTTAACTAACAGGGAAACATATTAATGACATCGAAATAGGGAGTGAGCTAGGGAACATAAGAACATAAGAACAAAGGTAACTGCAGAAGGCCTATTGGCCCATAGGAGGCAGCTCCTATCTATAACCACCCAATCCCACTCATATACTTGTCCAACCCGCGCTTGAAACAATCGAAGGACCCCACCTCCACCACGTTACGCGGCAATTGGTTCCACAAATCAACAACCCTGTTACTGAACCAGTATTTACCCAAGTCTTTCCTAAATCTAAATTTATCCAATTTATACCCATTGTTTCGTGTTGATACTTTTAATACCCTATTAATATCCCCTTTGTTATGTCCATTCACCCACTTGTAAACCTCTATCATGTCACCCCTAACTCTTCGCCTTTCCAGTGAATGCAACTTAAGCTTTGTTAATCTTTCTTCATATGAAAGATTTCTAATTTGGGGAATTAACTTAGTCATCCTTCGCTGGACACTTTCAAGTGAATTTATATCCATTCTATAATATGGTGACCAAAACTGAACTGCACAATCTAAATGGGGCCTAACTAGAGCAAGATATAGCTTGAGAACCACACCAGGTGTCTTGTTACTAACGCTGCTTTTTAGATTTAGTGTTAACTAACAGGGAAACACAAATTAATGACATCGAAATAGGGAGTGAGCTAGGGAACAGTGATCACAAAGAAATCAGATTTAGCATAGAATGGAATAGACCAGTAGGAGAAAATTCTGTTAAAGTGCCAGATTTTCGAAAAGCTGATTTTAATAGCCTAAGAATTTCTTTGGGTCAAATTGATTGGAAAGTCTTGGGTATGGGGTGGGGGCCGGTCTTGGAGCGAGACATGAACCCAGCGATAGGTGACGTAAATGGGGATTTCGATGTGAATTCAATATATAACTTATTTAGGAATATTCTAAAAAAAGCACAGGAACGTAGTATACCATACAAATTGAATAGATCAAATACTAATGACCCAAAGTGGATAACAAAGAATTTGAAGAACCTTATAGGTAAAAAGAGAGCTTGGTACAAAAGGATTAAAAATGGGGAGGTCACTTTAGAACAGGAATTCGTACAACTGGTTAGAAATGTTAAAAAAGAGATAAGGAAAGCAAAAAGAAACTATGAAGTTCGCATAGCAGGGCAAGCAAAGACAAATCCTAAAGGGTTTTTTCAGTTATATCGTACTAAGACTAGGAAAAGGATAGGTCCATTAAAAACTGAGACAGGTCAAATAACAGATAGTGATGAAGAGATGAGTAGTATTTTTAATAAATATTTTGTATCTGTATTTACTAAAGAGGAACTTAACAATATGCCTTCAGCCGAACAAGTCTATGTGGGTGGGGACGAGGACAGGTTGACGAGTTTAACAGTTACCAGGGAGGATGTTCTTAAACAAATAGTAAAACTCAAACCAAACAAATCCCCAGGGCCGGATGAAGTGTTTGCCAGGGTGCTTAAAGAATGCAAAGAGGAGCTTTGTGACCCACTGTCAACCATATTTAATAAATCAATAGAGTCAGGCAGAGTGCCAGAGTTTTGGAAAGTTGCTAATGTGATGCCAGTTTTTAAGGAAGGAGATAGATCCCTTGCGTCTAACTATCGACCAATTAGCCTAACGTCTATTGTGGGAAAGTTACTCGAATCTATAATAGCAAATAAAATTCGTCTTCATCTTGAAAAACATAAATTAATAATTGAGTCACAACATTGTTTTATAAATGGCCGTTCATGTTTAACAAATTTGTTATCTTTTTATTCTAGCATAGTTGAGGCAGTTGATAGTGGTAAGGATTGTGATGTTCTGTACCTTGACTTTAGCAAAGCTTTTGATACAGTGCCACATGAAAGACTGATTAAAAAGATAGAGGCTCATGGTATTGGGGGTGCTATATTAAACTGGATTAGGGCATGGCTATACCAAAGGAAACAGAGAGTTAGTATAAATGGAGTCAAGTCAGAGTGGGAAAATGTTGTAAGTGGAGTGCCTCAAGGCTCTGTCCTGGGACCTCTGTTGTTTATAATATATATAAATGATTTAGATTCAGGTTTGAGTAGCAACATTTGCAAATTTGCCGATGATACGAAAATCGGTAGGGAAATTAATTCGGAGGAGGACTCACTATCACTTCAAGTTGATCTAGATAGGGTTTTGAAATGGTCAAAGGATTGGCAGATGCAGTTTAATGCTGATAAATGTAAAGTTCTGAGGTTAGGTAATGATGATAAAGGTATCTTGTAGCAGTTACAAGATACGAGCTAGATGGTGTTGAGATTGCGAAGTCGGATTGCGAAAGGGATCTGGGAGTTATGATTAGTAAGAATTTAAAACAAAAGGATCAATGCATAAATGTTCGTAATAAGGCAAATCGGACACTTGGATTTATTAATCGCAACGTTAGTAACAAGACACCTGGTGTGGTTCTCAAGCTATATCTTGCTCTAGTTAGGCCCCATTTAGATTTTGCAGTTCAGTTTTGGTCGCCATATTATAGAATGGATATAAATTCACTTGAACGTGTCCAGCGTAGGATGACTAAGTTAATTCCCCAAATTAGAAATGTTTCATATGAAGAAAGATTAACAAAGCTTAAGTTGCATTCACTGGAAAGGCGAAGATTTAGGGGTGACATGATAGAGGTTTACAAGTGGATGAATGGACATAACAGAACATAAGAACAAAGACAACTGCAGAAGGCCTGTTGGCCCATACGAGGCAGCTCCTATTTATAACCACCCAATCCCACTCATATACATGTCCAACCCATGCTTGAAACAATCGAGGGACCCCACCTCCACAATGTTACGCGGTAATTGGATCCACAAATCAACAACCCTGTTACTGAACCAGTATTTACCAAAGTCTTTACTAAATCTATACTTATCCAATTTATACCCATTGTTTCGTGTTCTGTCTTGTGTTGATACTTTTAATACCCTATAAATATCCTCTTTGTTATGTCCATTCACCCACTTGTAAACCTCTGTCATGTCACCCCAAACTCTTCGCCTTTCCAGTGAATGCAACTTAAGCTTTGTTAATCTTTCTTCATATGAAAGATTTCTAATTTGGGGAATTAACTTAGTCATCCTACGCTGGACACGTTCAAGTGAATTTATATCCATTCTATAATACGGCGACCAAAACTGAACTGCATAATCTAAATGGGGCCTAACCAGAGCAAGATATAGCTTAAGAACCACACCAGGTGTCTTGTTACTAACGCTTCGATTAATAAATCCCAGTGTCCTATTCGCCTTATTACGAACATTCATGCATTGATCCTTTGTTTTAAATTCTTACTAATCATAACTCCCAGATCCCTTTCGCAATTCGACTTCGCAATCTCAACACCATCTAGCTCGTATCTTGTAACTGCTACAAGATACCTTTATCATCATTACCTAACCTCAGAACTTTACATTTATCAGCATTAAACTGCATCTGCCAATCCTTCGATCATTTCAAAACCCTATCTAGATCAACTTGAAGTGAGAGTGAGTCCTCCTCCGAATTAATTTCCCTACCGATTTTCGTATCATCGGCAAATTTGCAAATGTTGCTACTCAAACCTGAATCTAAATCATTTATATATATTATAAACAACAGAGGTCCCAGGACAGAGCCCTGAGGCACCCCACTTACAACATTTTCCCACTCTGATTTGACTCCATTTATACTAACTCTCTGTTTCCTTTGGTATAGCCATGCCCTAATCCAGCTTAAATAGCACCCCCAATACCATGAGACTCTAACTTTTTAATCAGTCTTTCAAGTGGCACTGTATCAAAAGCTTTGCTAAAGTCAAGGTACACAACATCACAATCCTTACCACTTGTGGCATACCTCTGAATCTTCTCTTGCTTTGTCTTGTATTTAACTAGGTATGGACTCCATTTAGGAGCTGCCAACTCCAGGATTGGTCATAAGAACATAAGAACAAAGGTAACTGCAGAAGGCCTATTGGCCCATACGAGGCAGCTCCTATCTATAACCACCCAATCCCACTCATATACTTGTCCAACCCGCGCTTGAAACAATCGAGGGACCCCACCTCCACCACGTTACGCGGCAATTGGTTCCACAAATCAACAACCCTGTTACTGAACCAGTATTTTCCCAAGTCTTTCCTAAATCTAAACTTATACAATTTATACCCATTGTTTCGTCTCTCAATCTCATCCTGTATTTGTTGAAATATATCTCTTTTTATTTCCAGGATCAAATTCTCCATCCAAACGTCCCTCTCAACACATTTCCCTATCACCTTCTCTAAAAACCTATCCTTCTCTTCCATGCTACAGCTTGATCTGGTCGCCCTTCTTTATTTTGTCATTGCAATAAACTACCTTAGCAAACAGGCATCCCAGTTACCTTACTCGTTCTGCTACACAATAGGTGAGTGAGTATCCAGGCATCTTTCAATGGCGGTGTAAGGCACATAAGGTTACGGTCGGCATGAGGTCAACTCCCACTGTTCCACTATTTCTCAATGTGGTACAACACTTATTTTCAAATACACTATTTCTACTTCCTACAGCTTTGTGTTTGCCGACTAAGTGTTATTCCTCCCAGAGTTCAGTGTTTGAAGGCAAAGGTCTCCCTTCCATAGCTAAGTATTTGAAAGCTCAGAGCACCTCCTCCCACAGCTCATGTTTACCTCTTTACAGCTTATGTTTATCTCTCAGAATGTTCGGTAATATGTTTATTCTTTGTGTTGTGTGTCTATGTATGTATTAACACGATGTACTAAACGGGGTGAGAATAGCTTGAGCTACCTCATCCCTTTGTGTGCACGTTACCGCAATAAACTTATTTCAATTTCAATTTCAATTGCTCTCTCCTACAGCTAAACAACATATTTAACCTTTTAGTTTCCTCTTTATCACGACCTACTAAGCGCTCTATTAATGAGCACCGTTGCCCAATTATTCCATCCTTCCCGGGACTCGAACCCAGATAGTTATCCCGTGTGAAGTGGTAACGTAAGGGCGCTAACTACTTCACCAATTGGTTCTCATAATTTATAACAGTCAGATCAGCACCACTCAGTATAAGATGAAAGTCACTCTAGGTAAGTGTGGAGAGCCGTAAGTGTGGAGAGCCGTAAGTGTGGAGAGCCGTAAATAGTCAGGAACTCATATCTTGGAACAGGAGTGAGCTGAAGGAGTTCAAGGGTTGTCTGAGCGGTGATGGGTTGGCGGCGCTGCCTCCCAGCCTGGAGCAGCTGTCCCTGGCTCTGGTGGATGACGACCAAGCTCGTAACCTCCTGCCACGGCTACACGCTGCTGTCACCTCCCGACTACCTCGGCTGTGGCTCCTTGGTCAGTGTGCCCTGTCATTTGTGTATGAGAATACTGTGTGATGATGGTGTTACTGGTGCTGTTATTGTCTCTTACTGTATTGTGTGGTGATGTTACTTACTTACTGTACTGTGTGATGATGCTGTTACTGGTGATGTTACTGACTTACAGTACTGTGTGTTGATGGTACTTCTCTCTATTACAGTACTGTGTGTTGATGGTACTTCTCTCTATTACAGTACTGTGTGTTGATGGTACTTCTCTCTATTACAGTACTGTGTGTTGATGGTGCTTCTGTCTATTACAGTACTGTGTGTTCATGGTGCTTCTGTCTATTACAGTACTGTGTGTTGATGGTGCTTCTGTCTATTACAGTACTGTGTGTTGATGGTGCTTCTGTCTATTACAGTACTGTGTGTTGATGGTGCTTCTGTCTATTACAGTACTGTGTGTTGATGGTACTTCTCTCTATTACAGTACTGTGTGTTGATGGTGCTTCTGTCTATTACAGTACTGTGTGTTCATGGTGCTTCTGTCTATTACAGTACTGTGTGTTGATGGTGCTTCTGTCTATTACAGTACTGTGTGTTGATGGTGCTTCTGTCTATTACAGTACTGTGTGTTGATGGTGCTTCTGTCTATTACAGTACTGTGTGTTGATGGTACTTCTCTCTATTACAGTACTGTGTGTTGATGGTGCTTCTGTCTATTACAGTACTGTGTGTTCATGGTGCTTCTGTCTATTACAGTACTGTGTGTTGATGGTGCTTCTGTCTATTACAGTACTGTGTGTTCATGGTGCTTCTGTCTATTACAGTACTGTGTGTTCATGGTGCTTCTGTCTATTACAGTACTGTGTGTTCATGGTGCTTCTGTCTATTACAGTACTGTGTGTTCATGGTGCTTCTGTCTATTACAGTACTGTGTGTTGATGGTGCTTCTGTCTATTACAGTACTGTGTGTTGATGGTGCTTCTGTCTATTACAGTACTGTGTGTTGATGGTGCTTCTGTCTATTACAGTACTGTGTGTTGATGGTGCTTCTGTCTATTACAGTACTGTGTGTTGATGGTGCTTCTGTCTATTACAGTACTGTGTGTTCATGGTGCTTCTGTCTATTACAGTACTGTGTAATGATTATGTTACTGTAAACTATTCTATGAGATGATTGTGTTACTGCCTCTTTCCGTACTGTGTGATGATGGTGTTACTGCTGATGTTGCTGTCTCCTACTGTACTGTGTGTGTGTGATGATGTTACTGTACTGTGTGTGTGATGATGTTGCTGTCTCCTACTGTACTGTGTAATGATCATATTACTGTACTGTGTGTGATGATGTTACTGTATCTTACTGTGCTGTGTGTGTGATGATGTTACTGTATCTTACTCTACTGTGTGATGATGGTGTTACTGTCTCTTACTGTACTGTGTCTTGATGGTGATACTTTAGCTTACTGTGCTGTGGGATGTTGTTGCTTCTGTCTCTTACTGTACTGTGAGATGATTGTTTTTCTTTATCTTACTATACTGTGAGATGATGGTGTTACTTGTGGTGTTACTGTCTCTTACGGATCTGTGTGTTGCTGGTGTTACTGTCTTTCACTGTATTGTGCGTTGATCGTGTTACTGTGTCTTTCTGTACTGTGTGTTGATAGTTTTACTGTCTTTTACTGTACTGTGTAATGATGGTGTTACTGTCTGTTACTGTAAATTTTACTGTGTGATAATGATGTTACCGTCTCTTATTCGTCTGTGTAATGAGAGTGTTGCCGTTTCTTTCTGTACTGTGTGATGATAGTGTTACTGTAGTTTACTATACTGTGTCATGATTGTTTTTCTTTCTCTTACTGTACTTTGAGATAATGATGTTACTGTCTCGTACTGTACTGAGTGATGATGGTGTTACTGTCTCGTACTGTACTGAGTGATGATGGTGTTACTGTCTCGTACTGTACTGAGTGATGATGGTGTTACTGTCTCGTACTGTACTGAGTGATGATGGTGTTACTGTCTCGTACTGTACTGAGTGATGATGGTGTTACTGTCTCGTACTGTACTGAGTGATGATGGTGTTACTGTCTCGTACTGTACTGAGTGATGATGGTGTTACTGTCTCGTACTGTACTGAGTGATGATGGTGTTACTGTCTCGTACTGTACTGTGTGTTGATGGTGTTACTGTTTCTTACTGTACTGAGTGATGATGGTGTTACTGTCTCGTACTGTTCTGTGTGTTGATGGTGTTACTGTCTCGTACTGTACTGTGTGTTGATGGTGTTACTGTCTCGTACTGTACTGTGTGATAATGATGTTACCGTCTCGTACTGTACTGAGTGATGATGGTGTTACTGTCTCGTACTGTACTGTGTGATGATGGTGTTACTGTCTCTTACTGTACTGAGTGATGATGGTGTTACTGTTTCTTACTGTTCTGTGTGTTGATAGTGTTACTGTCTCTTACTGTTCTGTGTGTTGATGGTGTTACTGTCTCGTACTGTACTGTGTGATAATGATGTTACCGTCTCGTACTGTACTGAGTGATGATGGTGTTACTGTCTCGTACTGTACTGTGTGATGATGGTGTTACTGTCTCGTACTGTACTGAGTGATGATGGTGTTACTGTCTCGTACTGTTCTGTGTGTTGATGGTGTTACTGTTTCTTACTGTACTGTGTGTTGATGGTGTTACTGTTTCTTACTGTTCTGTGTGTTGATAGTGTTACAGTAATATCACTTAGATCAGTGGCTTAGGGCAGATAGAATGCCACGAACATATAAACAAAAAAAGAGAAAACAAATTAAAATAAAACTGTTATGTTGACTTCTTCACGGTGTGGGAAATGCAGGATAAAACATATAAAAATGAAAAATTTGAATACTTTAATATAAAAAAATTAATTAAAAAATCACAAACTGAAAATAGTTCCTAAAAAACTTGATTTACTTACAGTGTGCAAAACAATCAAACAGACAATTTAACGTTGTGGCAGAGAACATGAAATAAATAGTGCTGAAAATATTGTATGCCAGGCTTCATAGATATACCACTACGCAAGGTAGTGTGAGGGTAGGTCCAGCAGGTAGAGTACGAGAATGTATTCTGCTGGTGGTGGTTGGCCGGCTTCTATTTATATGAGATTTGACCAATGTAGGTGGCGCTGGTGTGGCAGAGACAAACTAGCAGAGTGCTTGTTCCCGGGTGGTGACGTGAGCTTGTCGCCACAAGGAGTGCTGGGAGTCACGGGTACTGGAGAGCAGGGAAGGGAGGGGGGGGAGTCTTGACGTCTGAGCACTAGTTTTTGTTCTTGCTGCAAATTCTTGAATATACAGCTAGAATATGAGTGGTAGAATAGGTGATGATGGAACAGGCCTAAACTCCTTCCAAGGGAGATTACCGTGAATAATAGTGTAACTAGTGGTGTTACTGTCTCTAACAGTACTGTGCGGTGATGGAGTTACTGTCTCTTACTGTACTGTGTGATGATGGTCTTACTGTACTGTGTGATGATGGTCTTACTGTACTGTGTGATGATGGTCTTACTGTCTTTTACTATATTATGTGACGATGGTCGTGTTACTGTCTCTTACTGTTCTATATGTTGATAGTGTTACTGTCTCTAACAGTACTGTATGATGATGTTGTTACTGTCTCTTACTGTTCTGTGTGTTGATAGTGTTACTGTCTCTTACTGTTCTGTGTGTTGATAGTGTTACTGTCTCTTACTGATCTGTGTGTTGATAGTGTTACTGTCTCTTACTGTTCTGTGTGTTGATAGTGTTACTGTCTCTTACTGATCTGTGTGTTGATAGTGTTACTGTCTCTTACTGTTCTGTGTGTTGATAGTGTTACTGTCTCTTACTGTTCTGTGTGTTGATAGTGTTACTGTCTCTTACTACATTTCGTGATGATGGTGTTACTGTCTCTTACTGTAATGTGTGACGATGGTGTTACAATATCTTAATGAACTGAGTGATGATGGTGTTACTGTTTTGGTGTTGTCTTGAATATGATTATTATAAGTTTTATTGATGCTATAAGGAGACATCGAGTAATAAGCTATTGATATAATATCTCTTCTTGAAGATATTGAACTACTAACTGATTCACATTAGCCCAATCATCCTCTGCAATGAGTTTACTGGGTCTGAACTTATGGTACAATATTTGGTTATCGCTAAATGTGAAATCCGGGGATGGCATCGGCCTTAATCTGCGCTTGGAAAAATAAAGGGGTCAAAGAAACGACAAATTGTTTTAACTTACGGAACTCCATCCGGTTGAGATTCGGTGGGAGGCCTCGCACGTCTCGAGGGACAGCTGTTGCTACTTGTGGTGGTTGAGCGGCTTGAGCACGGGTAGTCACTAGAACAGGCGGGGAGATGTCTGCTGGTTCCTCTGTCACAGTTACCCTCTTCTTCTGCTGCATAGACCATGACAGGATCTTCTTCCGTGGCCGAATCACATACCTGGGGTTTGTCACAGATAATCAAGTTGGCGGAGTCTTGCTGGTTGGCCAAGTCGCTGCCTAGAAGAAGTTGAATTCCTGGCATGGGGAAAGGTTTTTCCCGAATGGCGACTTGGGCTGCTCCACTAATGAATTGACACTCCAGGTAGACTGTGGCGAGCGGGTATGGTGTGGTTGCAGTGAGGCCAGTGATCAGGACGGTTTCTTCAGTGTAGGTGACTTGAGGTGCAGTGGCTTTCAGTAGAATACTCTGATGCAGCGAAGCTGTGTCCCTCAAGATGCGTATTGGGCTCGTTCCATCAGAATCTCTACCGTTTTCAGAGACGGTTCCTGAATACACATGTCTGTCAAATAAAGTAAGATCAGTAATTGGAACATTTACATGTAACACAGGCTTAGTAGGCTTAGAAGGTTGAGGTTTAGGCTATTTAGGATTAGGTGATTCAGTGTCCGAAGTAGACACCTGCCACTTTATCTCCCGCTCTCTGGGGACAGAAAGTATACTAGTGAGTTCCGAGAGGTGCTGCGAGATCCTTATGTTTTGGGGCTGGTGTACACAGGGGTTATAAGTGCTGACTTCATCACGAGGGAAAGTGAGTATAGAGCCGACAGCAAGGATACTGTAAAAAGAGCAGTGAAAGAGTGTCATTAGTACAGCTCGAGGAGAAGGCAAAGAACCAGCAACAGTTGAGAGAGCAATGAGTAGGCCTGATCGTATGAAAAGGGATGGGAACTATCAGGGAAAAGTGCCAAGCCATAAGGATTTGGGCTGGGACATGGGGGAAGGAATGGTGCCCAACAACGTGGACGGTCGGGGATTGGACCGTCCGGTCCAAGTGAAAAGCGATAATGAATTAAGCTCACGTTCGAGCAGGAGTGGGCGTAGTATCACGCTTGAGATTTTGAAGCGTAAATATAAAGCCCAAGCCCGACTTGAGGAACATGAAGCATAACAAAAAGATGCTGAACATGATGCCCAATACGAGGAAGCTGAATGTGAAGCCCAACGCAAGGATGCTGAACGTGAAGTCCGACGCAAGGAAGCTAAACGTGAAGTCCGACGCAAGGATGCTGAACGTGAAGCCCGACGCAAGGAAGCTGAACTTGATGCCGGGCGCTAGGAAGCTGAACATGACGCCCAAGTCGACGCAAGGAGCTGAATGTGAAGCCTAAGCCCGACGTGAGGAGCCTGAAGCTCAAGCCCGGATCCAACTCCTAAAGGAAGAGAATAGGAAAGAGACTGAAGGGAATATCGCACTGGAAGAGAAGAGAATTGAACGCGAACAAATGGAACCCAGAAGATAATGCCAAGCCCACCCACAAGAGCCACTCATCAAGGAAAGAGACATCCCGATATTCGTGCCACAGAAATACGAGGACTTCTTTGAGCAGTTTGAGAAGGTGGCCACGGTGAAGGGATGTCCCGAAGATGAATGGGCCCAGTTCATCCAAGGTAAACTGATGGGTGAGGCCAGAGCATGTTAGCTAGCATGTTAACATATAACATGCTAGCAGTGGACGAATGTATGGATTATGAAGCCGTTAAGAAGGCAATGCTGAGATCGTTCCAGCTCATCCCGGAAGCTTACAGAAGTTCAGTTCAGTTCCGAGGAGCTAGAACTAGAACTCCGGGGAGAACGTTTGCCGAGACAGCCCGAGAACTAGACCAAAAGTTCCATAGGTGATTGAAGGCTTTGTGAACGGAAACGTTTGGGGATCTCAAGCAGTTGATTTTGCTAGAAAAAATCATGGAATTGACATACCCCGACGCGAGGCTACGAATCCAGGCAGCTGGAATTAAAAATTTAAGAGAGGCAGCTGATAGAGCGGATATGTTGGCATAGGCATTACCATGCACACAAGGAATCCTCATGGCAGTATAACAGCAGTATGCCCGACCAGCTCCAGTAAACCCGAAAAAGCAAGGCTTCTTTAAATCACAGCAGCAGCAGAACAGAAACGAGTTTCAGACAACAGTAGAGGGAGAGCAACCTTGAGAAAAAAGTCGGGAAGCTTGGTGGGGAAAATTCAAATCCTAGCGTGAGCAATTTTAACAGAAGTTATGGAGGAAATAGAAATTACAATGCTGGATCGTACAAGTCGACTACTTGGTCTACAGGAAGAAGGAATACCTTGTGTATGACCTGCTATAATTGTGGATCCTTGTAATTATGCCATTCCTTGTCGACAATGTAATTACTCATAATACCTGCCATTGCTTTCTTCTGCTTTTCCCTACCAACACACCGTACTTCTTGCTCTGCCATTCGCCCATTTGTGGAACAAACAGTTACCATGACGTGCTCCTGCACCTTTCCTCTGGCATCGTCTCTAATCCCTTACATCCATTCGTCCTCTCGTCAGTAGCTACATTCACATTAGCTCTTCTGACAACACCTAGAATCTCCTGTTTGTGAACTTATTACCACTAATTTGTTTCTCTTCCCACCCCTGGCGTGCATAAACTCATGAGTCCTCTGCTCGGTCCTACGCCACTCGGGTTTGGTTTTCGACATTCCCGTCAGCGTGGTCCTACTACTGCCACTACCTCCTGTGCACTGGGATTACTCCTGGCACTCCTTTGGCTTCCTTGGAAGGATAGTCATTCCACACACACACATCATTCCCAAGAACCACCTGTACATCATCTATGGGAAGGCTCAGGCAGACGCCCACAGTCCTCTTCCTCTCGAAATAGTCGCATCTCATTATAAACTCGAAAAGCGGCAAATGTCTCTTTGCACCAAGAGACTGTGCACTCTAACTGCCCCTACGGGTCACAACAGGAAGCAACAAGAGAGCGTATGTTGCTCTCATTTGTCAACAACGGGGACTCCACCATGAGGCTCTGGTTAGCCCCATATCTCTCAAGATGCGCACTTTGGATGGTGATAGGTCACCAACTACCACAGTTCCTTCGCTCACGAAGGGGTGGGGAACTGTTACTATATTACCAAGGTTTCCCTGCGTCCCTGACGCCCTTGGGATCACACTAGGCTTCGTAGCCTCCGCCATTGCCAGCCCCACCGTTTTCACTGGCTGGTCACACTCCCTGGCATAATAACCACTCTTGCCACATCATAACATACACCTACCTCCTTGTGCAGAAACTCCATTCGAAACCGCTTTTGGCTCATCCTGTACCATGACTTTGCGTTTCTCTTCAGACAATTCCCGTGCTCAACTACATCATCACTCGTGAAGGGACGTCGGTCCGAGTCGGCTTCGATAGGCTCCTGACGTGTCTTTGACACATCTGCGGCTGCATTAGGCTCCCTCACCTTCACAACTGCGAAACTCATGGACATTTTTGGTTTGTCGCACTCGTAGGGTGGGTAAGGTTAGGTTAGAGACGAAGAAACTGAGGTCTCGTACATGCCAGCCAGAGTGGTGGGACTGAGTCCGGTTGCATATAGTATTGTTAAGCTGTTAAACGTGACACTCTAGATTCATGTAACGTAACATCATATTATATGCATTAGTGAGTAAGTTTATTGAATAAATGTATTTAGCTGTACGCATGTCTTTCTGTCATTCCCTTCCTGAGTACTACCCTGGTATTTTGCTCTGCTGTTAATTATTGCTATTTGTTATTAATTGGGTTGGCTCAGGATATCAAGATCCCATAGCCTGTTAACACTAAATACTAAATTTGGTGTGAGAACCCATTACTCTATCCCCTAGATTGCTTAAGCAGTTGGAGAGGTTAACGACCAAGTGACGGAAGTATCTGTATGCTCGTTTGGATCAAGTGTTGTCCAGAACCTAACATCTGGCATATCCACCAGGGGGCCATTGCAGTTGCAAACTCCGCCATTTGACCTCTTGCAGAGTGGGCACCACCGGTGTTGGTGCTGTTGCATGCAGTTGCAGGTCGTTGTAGTGTGAAAATAATACTCCTCACAGTCTTGTGGACTATTACAGAGGTGCGAGTAGCAGCAAGAGTGACCCCGGCAGCGTTGGTGCCCTTACCCAGGCCGCAGCAAGTGACCCCAGCAGCGCCGGGCACCAGGGGAGTGTGGCTGGAGCTGAGTGATGTGAGCGACGCTGGTGTGAGCCGCGCTTGTCATGTGGCCAGCCTGCTACAGCCTCCTGGCGGGTCAGTCCTCTCTTGGTTTCTTATATAACTAGCCAGGCCCCGTGGTGTAGTGGTAAGACACTCGCCCTGCGCTTCATGAGTAATTTGGCCTGGGTTCGTATTCTAGCCGGGGAGGATTGGCTAGGCGCCAATCCTTAACTGTGCGCCTCTGTTCATCTAGCAGTGAATGGGTACATGGTTGTTAAACAATTTGGTAGGTTGTATTCCAGGGAAAATTAGCGTTAAGGACCTACCCGAAACGCTATGTGTGCAAGTGGTTTTACATGAATGTAAGATCTTTTGTATATATATATTATATATTATATATTATATATATATATATATATATATATATATATATATATATATATATATATATATATATATATATATATATATATATATATATATATATATATATATATAAGCCTATACTTGCATAAACCACAAGTGAAGATTAACTTGAAGATTAACTTTGGACAACAAGTGTTGTCCAAAGATATATATATATATATATGCATCCAATCAAACTACATATATTAGTAATGATAATTTAGAGGCCTTATCTTATTGTACAGTAGGCCTAGTCCAACAGGCATAATCAAGGATGCAGATACCAAATAATCCTCGTAGTTGAGAGACTAGCATCCACCACCCATGTACTGATGTACCAAGATTAATTCTTGCTTCCTCTTCTATACCTATTAAAAGAACACTTGCTGTAAAGCAGGAATCCTATATATGACAGCTATATCAGAGAAAATACTGTATATTATATGATAAGAACCAAGGAATGATTACCTGGGTTGAGTCGTTGTCTCTCGCGCTAACCGGTTCGCCCTATATCTACCTAACATTAACTGGCTAGAAAATGACTAGATAAGAAAATGGGTTTTGGTAATACACTTCCCTTGTTTAGATGTTGACTGCGTGTTGATGATGGAAGAAGCACTAATCTGATCTCCAAAACACTTCGTCCAAGGGAGAATTATAGGAGCTGAACTCGCTCCAGTGACTCGGTCTTAAACAATGGCTGACCTCTCGCTACCACTGAGGCCCTGGCTCTTTGTCCAGATGTCAATAAGTTGTAGAAAGTTCACATTTACTCTATATTAATACTGATAATTAAGTTAATTCAAATGAGCTGTTTTTATGATGTTAAAAGTCTAAAGACTGCTGCTTTAAGAATAATTCCCAATAGAATAGCTGGCATATTTATAGCACAATGTGGCAATGATATCCTGTTTTCTATTGACGGAAATTTCCACTACAGGCAACATTTTCTATGGGTTAACTTGTGTATACAACAGCAGCAATATTATCTGCATATTGTATTTAATATTAGTAAATGGTGTCTGGTTTTCCGACATAATTCCCTGGGGGGCCATTCAAACTACAGTATTAAACTACCTATATTAGTATTGATAATTTAGAGGTCTTATCTTATTGTACAGTAGGCCTAGTCCACCAGGCATAATCAAGGATGAAGACACCAAATAATCCTCGTAGTTGAGAGACTAGCATCCACCACCTATGTACTGATGTACCAAGATAAATTCTTGCTTTTTTCTTCTATTCCTGTTAAAAGAACACTTGCTGTAAAACAGGAATCCTATATATGACAGCTATATCAGAGAAAATACTGTATATTATATGATAAGGACCAATGAATGATTACCTGCGTTGAGTTGTTGTCTCTCGTGCTAACTGGTTTGCCCTATATCTACTTAAAATTAACTGGCCAGAAAATAACTAGATAAGAAAATGGGTTTCATTAATACACTTCCCTTGTTTAGATGTTGACTGTGGGAAAACTTGACTCATGAAATTCATTTAAATTGATGCTAATTCGATAGCTACAAAGGACCACCACTTTTTAAAAGAAAAGTGGAAACTGGGTAGAGCAAGTGGTTTACTATTAAATCCATGAACTAGTGTCCTATGGATATTATTGATAATTATTATCTTGAATATATATTGACTGTAATTTATGAATCAAATCTTCTCACCCAAAATGGGGCGTTAAATGTCAAAAGACTATTGCATCCCTGACATCATTTCAGTGTGGTTACTGAAGTAAATGATATAATTAATTGCAAAATTGTACAATGATAATTAGAGGTGAATGGGCCTCAAGATACTACAATAACCTAATATTACTACCAATGGTTAGTAACATGAATATATTGAGTAATGGTTAGACAAGAAATTTATTCTCATATGAAGTTTGTGAGGCTATCAAATTGTACTTGATTTCCTAAATCATGTAAATGAAATATCCTTAAATAATTGTTAGTTATCAACCAATACGTAATGAAATAAACTGAATTGAACTTGTTTAGCTGTGACAGCGAACGGAGATGCAGAGTCATGATGGCGTCGTCTGGTGCTTGCTAGATACGTGAGCCCAGAGCGTGGCGTGGGAAATGATGAGACTACGGCCGCTTCAACACGGGCTGAAATTCCAATTAAATGTACAAATTGCCTACACCAGGTAGATTGTGTCATCACTATTCATTAGGAGGGACATAGAAAATTCCTTACAGACGTACTTGTTGTTTGGGGAGGTCTTGTGGTGTAACGATGGACAGTGTATTATAAAATTAAAAGAGCTCGATTAATAATATAAGAACACTTAACCTGCTTGTTGTCCACTGATGCAATCCTTAGGTTGCTTGCTACTAGGCCGATTAATTGCAAGGGCCTATCGTAGAATTGTTGGAAATTCGCCTCTCCCTGGATGCTCGTGTTGTACTTCTGATGGCGTCGCTAGTCCAGCTCCGACTCTTGCGAGAGTTGGGTCGCTACTCATGGCGTCGCCATGCTTCCATCTCCCTCAACCCTCTCTCACATATTCGCAATAGAATTCAGAATTACAGAATTTATTTACAGTCTTTAACATGACTGGGAAGGTCATTCCACATTCTGGGTCCCTTGATTTGTAGAGGACTCAGAATGTGGAATGACCTTCCCAATTATGTTAAAGACTACCTCTCTCAACCAGTTTAAGATAAAAACTAAACACTACCTAATTAACTCCCTGTAACCTACCTTACCCCTATAATGTCAACCCATGTCCGCTGTTTTTTAAACAATGCTGTTTGTCGACCAAATTGTTTTCTTGCTGTTATTCTGCCATATTTTCCCCTTTTTATTTTTATATTTTCTCAACACATTTTATACTTTAACCTCAATTAGTATTAAGTTTTAGTCTTTAGTGTTTTCCTGCTCGAAACGCTTTGCGTAATAGTGGCTTTAGGCATTGTATGTACTAGCTCTATAAATTCATCAATATTTGTATCACACCCTGTATGTATGTACTTTACCTAAATAAACATTTGAATTTTTTAATGCTGGCATTGGAAGTGAATGAAACATACGAGTGCCGCTTAAATATGTAAACAAATATGCATAATGGGTCGAGTTGTATTAGTTATTATAGTAAAAATAGTTATAAAACCCAGTCATATAAACACAGATTGAATATATCACACAATAGCATGATATATTCACTCCATAGTCTCTAAATGATTTTCATTGATATATCACGCAATTGTGATTTCTATGCGATTTAAGTGTGGTGTAAGAGTGTGAACGCCATTACCGTAGGCCAGAATGTGGTTGGGTTGGCTGTAAAACCCTGTTTGGGTTCCAGTTTTGGGCCTCCAGAACCTCCCAGTGAATTCAATAGAGTTCCATGTTTGTCAACTTTAGTACCACCATGGGTGAGTCTTTAAGGCAGGTGTCTTGGATTCAACAGAATGCAGATTCAAGCCACTCTATTGCATAACCCTTAAACTGCGCATGGCGTATATATACACTATGAGTAACATGTCCCACCGTGCGCATGGCGTATATATACGCCAAAGGGTGCCAGGCAAGATTCAAATGTCCCGCGGTGTAAAGGGTCACCCATACCATAGCCAGGGGCGATTGTAAACAGACGCCATCTTGAAAAAAATCTAGAGCAGGCCTCCTTTGTTTCCCAGGCCTTAGTTAGTGGCCAGACACCATGGCAAGCACATCACGACCCAGCGTCCGACCTCGCTCAGCGCACTGCGCATCGCAGTCTTTGACCGAAGACGAAATAGTCAATGAATTGTTCAAGGACGTTGAGGAATCTGATATTGACGACTCTGATATAGATGAGGACTATACACAGCCTGAAGAAATAGAAACCATGGATAGTGAGGGTGAACATGTTGGTGCCACGAGGGTGAGGATGCCACGAGAGTTACCCGCTACTACTCAACACCACTTCGCGCCCAAGCACATAGTTCATGTGTTCCATTGCAAGTTTATGATATGATCGACGAGTCTGAAACAGGTGAATCATTCTCAGGTTTAGTGATGTAGAATCGGAAAATTGTTTCGCCCCGCCTGCTAGTGCCAGTACAAGTTTCGCCGCATCAGCTGCCCAGCCAGACAAGCGCCGCCACATGAAACAATATTTTATTTTTTTTGAGATATATACATGAGTTGTTACATTCTTGTACAGCCACTAGTACGCGTAGCGTTTCGGGCAGGTCCCTGGAATACGATCCCCTGCCGCAAAGAATCGTTTTTTCATCCAAGTACACATTTTACCGTTGAGTTAAACAGAGGCTACAGTTAAGGAATTGCGCCCAGTAAATCCTCCCCGGCCAGGATACGAACCCATGACATAGCGCTCGCGGAACGCCAGGCGAGTGTCTGACCACTACACCATGGAGACTGCCTCATATGGCGACAATGAGGAACAAATCCCCTCATGTTCCAATACTTTTCCCTCATCGACCCTTCCTGCCCCTACTGTTTCTAGACCTGCTTCAGCTCCTGGTCCCCGGCTTCCTCGCCGTGGTGCAGCTAATGGCTCTCGGAAGACGGCAGGTTTATTTGTGGAGTGATGGGGAAGATTTTGTTCCACAAATTCCCGACTTTGACAATAGAGATATGGGAATTACAGATCTTTTCCCTGATACTGGTGACGAAATGAGTGAAATGGACTTCTTTACTGCATATTTTGATGAGCTGCTCATGGA